TAAAAACTAAAATAGGGCAGGTGAAATGGCTCAGCAGGTTAAAGGTGCCAGTGATGGATGGTACCAACGATAAAATAGAACAAGAATCCTAAAGTTGGTATTTCTTCTTTGGCGCACGAGACCCCATGATAGTCTACAATATAACCATAGCTACTGAGTGACTGATGGATGAGTAACGCATATGCCAGGGATTCACAGGACAAAGAGATGACTCAGGTTCGAGGCAGGAGAGAGCAGGGTGGTACAAGATTTCGTCACACCATTGAAAAGGGTGTGCGGTTTAAAACGTATGGTTTCTTTCCAGGGTGTTTTGGTTAATGTTTTCAGCTCCAGTTGGCTGCAAATTAATCATAGGAAAGTGAGGTTGTAGATAACAGAGAACACCTGTGGCTCTCAGTCATCGTACGCCACTCCACCAGCAACCAAGGAGCTTTTGTTTGTGACAGTCCCATGACGTCAGAAGACTGACCGTCTACATCTGCAGAAGTAATCGCCCTATGAGGAGGGGAGTGTAGTTTCTAGCTCAAGGTATATTCCCTCGGAACTGTCACGGTCTTCCTCTTGGGCTCCTCCGTTGGGGGAGGCGTTGAGTAAAAGTTTTCCCAACTTGTGTAATAATAAGAGGCAGAGAAACTGACTTGATTTAGCAGCCAGTGGATGATTGTGTGTCTACAAGCTGGAAACACAGATCACAACAAACAGGATCCTGCTTCATGAATTCTTGTTCTAAAGGAGCAAGCATCCAAATGCCAATGCGGGGCTGTAGCAGAATTCCAAGACCGTTTCATTAGTGAACTGGCCCCACCAGGGCGAAAAGTACTTTAGAGTCAATACCAGTGGGGGTTTGCAAATATGGATTTCTGGGCTCAGCCAGATCAGAGGGCAGCAGTAAAGAGACAGTGTTTTTTCTGGGTTTTTTTGTTTTTTGTTTTTTTTGAGGTACCCTACTCCTTCAAATAGTCCTATGTATGTATGTCTTCTTCACTGTCTTTCTGGTACAATCCCCACACATAATGCTACATTAGAGAAACCTCTTAGACTTTGCGGTTTTCAGATGCACCCTCGGTGACCTTAGATAGAAGGAAGCCCCGAGTCTGGTATCTCAAGAGAACCCCTGCAAAGGAGAGGCCAACACTCTCAAGACTGGCTTTCCCAGTCTGCCCCTGGGGTTCATTATTGCCTCAGAGGGCTGGGTAGGGTGGTGTGCTACGGTGTGGTGTGGCGTGGCGTGGCATGGTGTGTGTGTGTGTGTGTGTGTGTGTGTGCGTGTGCACGCACGTGTAGGCGCGTTTATGTACATTGGATCTCAGTAATTTTTGCCTAGAGAAGGGTCTTCAACCTGATTTTTAAGTCAAGGGCTGCCCAGCCCAGCCCAGTCACAGGACCCTCTCCTTCAGCTCCACACTGCCACCGTGTGGTGCAGACGCAGCTTTGCAGTGAGCCGCAGGGGTCAGGAGACCCTAAGCATGCCTTCTCGCTCCCCCCCCCCCAACTCCCAGGCTACTTGCTCAATAAATCATGTTTTAATTTTATCTTGTGGAGCCCATTATCATGCTTACAATAATAAATATCCACGGGATTTTCCTGGATATTAAAGAGTCGTAAGAGTCGTACTGGTTCATTTTAAACCAGGACTTTGGAGCTCTAGACCCAGAATGGAACCACTGCAGCCTGGGTCTGGAATTAATAGCCACTTTAGACCAAAGACCTATTTACATACAAACACAAGCATGGACACCTGGGAAATCAGTTACTGGTACCAAATAGCTTAAAGATCCATCCTAAAGTTCGTACAACTAACTGGTCAGCCACTATCCTCTCTGCCCTACCCTGGTGTCCTATTCCTACATGGTTGTTTCTTTGTTTGGTTGATTGGTTTTCCAGACAGGGTTTCTTTGTATAGCTCTGGCTGTCCTGGAACTCACTCAGTAGACCAGGCTGGCCTCAAATTCAGAGATCTACCTGCCTCTGTCTCCCAAGTGGTGGATTAAAGGCGTGTGCCACCAACCGCTCAGCTCTGGTTTTGTTTTATAAAGTAGGGTCTCACTATGGAGGCCAGACTGGCTTTGAACTCTCAATCCTGCCTCTGCCTCCTGAGTGTGGGGATTACAGACTGTGCCGCTATGCCCAGTGCCGATGTAAGTTTTGGGTTTTGTTTATTTTTGCAATACGAGAGTCAGAGGACTAAACCTAGAGCCCATTGCTTGCTAAGGGATTGCTCTGCCACTGAACTATGCCCCCAGCTATTTTTATTTTTATTTCAAGACAGGGTCTTACTAAAATATTCAATCAGGACTTGAATCTGCTTCTTTTTTTTTTTTTTCTCGAGACAGGGTTTCTCTGTATTGCTTTGGAGCCTGTCCTGGAACTCGTTGAATCTGCTTCTTAACCCAGGCAGTTCTTGCATTTACAACCCTCCAGCCTCCTAAAAAGCTGAGGTTACAGCCTGAGAACTCAGGCGCAGATTTCCACTGTAGGCTTTAAGGGACTGAAGGACTGGGCTTCACAGTGCATGGGTGGCATGAATTATATATAGATGTGCCCAACACAGAAGCAGCATTATTCAGTTTCTCCGGTGTTCGGGGTCAGAAATGATTTTGACTCCCTCCCCACAAGGCCCACCTGCTTGTATCCCATCCACGCTCTCTCGCTGCTCCACACTGTCCATGAGAACTCCCTACAGGTGCTGCAAAGGCTGCTGCTCATAGACTTAGGCCACACCCACCCTTGTTCCAGGAACATCTTACTGTGGGCTCCCAAGGTCCCAGGTCCAATATATAGTCACTTCACATGGGTCTTATTGTAGAATCTGCTCTCTGGGAAAGATCCATAGGAGAAACTGTTGGGTCCCCAAAGCCACCCTACAAGTAAATTTTCCTTGTGTACTTCACAAAAGTCCACAAGAGAAAGTACAGGAGTAGGCAAACAAGGACTACTGGAACCAAAGAGTAACCTGGAGAGGGGTGTTAGCTAGCCTTGGTCCTGAGTCCTCTTCTGTCTCCTAATTACAGACTCTCCAGACCCAAGGCCTTGGGAGTCACCCTCTAGCTTCAGTCTAAGACAGGCCGTCATTTCCTCCTATGACATCAGTAGAGAGTTCTTTATAAATCTTTCCCAGCATTGTTATTTCTGGTTCATAAATAAAGGCAATACTGTTCAGAGAAATTGGCAACTTGCAGAGTTCATACTGGTAGAAAGAGCAAGACTCAATCCCAGACCTTTGGGATGGACAACTGGAGTTCCTTCTGAGTTCCAGTCACGTGATGAAGGGTTTAATTAATACCTTCTGTGCTGTAGGCACTGGAGCCAGGAACTGCAGTCAGAGATGGGGCACTGGGCAGAGGGGTGCAGGAGATTACATAAGCAGGAGAAGGAACACCTTCAACTGCCCTGACTGGCTTGATGGGGTTTGCATCCCAAGCCCAGATCCGCATGACAGATGGGCAGGGAAGTAGGTGGATGTCTGGGGCTGCCTTGGGCAACAGAAGCCACAGGACAGAGAGAGAGTGGGTGACTCTCTCCTGGCTGCCTTGTACCTTTAACACACACACACACACACACACACACACACACACACACACACGTGCCTCTTTGCTGTCCTCCAGTTCTCTAGTACCAAACGGATGGATGTTCTGCTCAGTCATAGCATCCAACTAGGGTTCCTTTCTGAGGAATCTTAGAAAACCTCTTCTGAGGGGCTGGAGAGATGGCTCAGAGGTTAAAAGCACTGACTGCTCTTCCAGAGGTCCTGAGTTCAATTCCCAGCAACCACATGGTGGCTTACAACCATCTACAATTCAATCTGGTGCCCTCTTCTGGTAGAACACTGTATATGTAATAAATAAATCTTTAAAAAAAAAAAGAAAAGAAAAGAAAACTTCTTCTGAGGTTTCTTAGGACAGAATGGCTGTGATAAACACCATGACCAAAAGCAGCTCAGGGAGAAAACGGTTTATTTCAGCTTACGACTCCCAGGTCAAACTGCATCACTGAAGGAAGTCAGGGCAGGAACTCAAGGCCAGAACCTGGAGGCAGGAGATGAAGCAGGGGCCATGGAGGGTGCTGCTCACTGGCTTGCTCTCCATGGCTTGATCAGCCTGCTTTCTTTCTTATTTTTAAGTTTTAGAGTAATTTATTTTTTTAGATTATAATATAATCATGTCATTTCCCCTTTCCCTTTCCTCCCTCCAAACCCTCCCATACACTCTTCCCTTTGTTCAAATCCGTGTCCTCTTTTTTCACTGTTGTTTCACACATATATATATATGCGTGTGTATGTGTATCTACATATATATCCCTCAAATACATAAATACAAACTGCTCAGTCTGTATGATATTACTTGTATGTATGCCTTCAGCTCAGCCTTCTTTCTTGTACAAACCATGACAGCTTTCCCAAGGACTACCCCCCACAGTAGGCTGGGCCCTCCCACATCAATCGCCAGCCAAGAAAACGTACCACAGGCCAGCCTGATGACGGCAACGCCTCAAATGAGGTTCCCTCCTCCAAGATGAGCATGTTTGGGTCAAGTTTACACAGCACTGTCTTTCCTGAGCCTTAGTCCCTCTTCAGAGCTTCTCTAGGTGCTTGCAGATAAGTCATGATTGCAAACAATATTTATACTCACTTTGTCTGACTCTCAGAACTGAGGTAGCCAGGCTCAGAATGTCACTGACTGTGGTCACAGCTAGGCCAGAGCCAGGATCCAGCCCTCCCGACCTGTTCCTGGCTGCTGCTTTTTGTATAATCGTGGCTGTCCCTGGGAACCAGAACTGAGGTGGGGAAGTTCCTCTAAGACTTTAGCTCCCCTGGAAATAATCAGGAAGAGTGGGGCCAGGCCCTAGGTTTCACCTTTCCTTGCTGTCTCTTCTTCCTACCCCGGAGGATTCGGCAATACAGAACTGAGGTCAACGGGACTGGCTCTGGTGAGGTGGGATCTACCATAACCGAAGTAACGGCATGTGCGTAATTGTTATGAAAAAGGGACGATTCTAGAACCTGTTGGTTAGAACATTCTCTGTGGTTTTGTGCTGTTACAGAACTCTGGTTTTGCAGTCACAGATGGCTAGAGTTGAGAAAGACCTTGGAGTCTCCCCCAGTGCAGGTGAGAAAGCTGAGGCTAGAGAGTAGAGGTGGTTTCCCAGGGCGCAGCAGAGACTTGAAACCTTAACTGCATCTTCCCTTAGAACTTCAGTGGTTTCTAGAGCCATGACCATGGCGGGGTCTTTTCAAAAAGGACGTCTGTTCCACACAGTACCAGAGGAAGGAAGGCTGGAGGAGACGAGGAGGAAGGCCCTAGCCCTGTGGCCTGGCAGGTTTATTCTTTCTCCTGATTTTCTCGTGACCTTTTCACTCCTTTCCGTCCTCTTTCTCCCTATCTCAGCCCCAGTGGACAGACCATTGAGAATGCATGGCGTGTCCCAGGGCCACCCACCCAGCGGCAGGAATGATGCAGAAGAGGAGCTAGCATTGACTGTGTTCCTACGTGTACCACATCACCATCGGGTACCCAGTTCCAAACTGTCACCAAATCACCTCGTTTCTGCAGCTAGGTGGGCATAGATGGCAGTTCTGTTCTCCTTTCTAACAATCTGTCCTCTCTTGGTTGCACTGAGATGTACCAGTCAGGTTAGAATGGGGACGGTTAGTTAAGTCGTGAGAAAAGCCTCTGAGTTGATAGTGCCATTGAGGCCTGCCCTAGATCTAGAACACAATGTCTACCAGCCGGGTATGTTTGTGGGTGCCTTTATGAATGTGGAAGAAACAGGGAATTTGATTCTCCTGTTTCCCAACAATCTAAAATTGTTGGCCAGCACTCACTCTAGGGGCTGCCATGACACCTAGGGTAGTGGCAGCCATTCTAACGTCTTTACCCTGCCTCAAACTAGCCTCCACTGGGTACCATCCACCATCAACCCTTTTAGCCCTTATTCCCAATGCCTGAGATGAGCAGAGCCTGGTTCCAAGGACTCCTCTCTAAGAGATGCTGGTCTCCACGGAGGCTTCTCCATCCCCCTGCTCTAAATCCTTCAGGGACTCTGCAGGCCTGGGCTTTGAGTGGAGGCTGAGGTTAAGGCTGAGACGGAGGGTAGATGGACCACTGGAGTGGGCCAGCAGTGTCGTGCGGCGGCTAGCAAGGCTGCTGCTGGAGAGTTGCCTGTGCACTCGGGGCTGGGAACCCCTGCAGCAGATGCGGTGACTCAGGGAACGTGGCAGCAGGTGGCTGTTGAAGCCCATGTAGATCCAGGGGTTGCAGCAGCTGCTGAGGTTGCCCAAAAGCATTGAGATGGTAAAAGCCACATTGGTGGAATCTGCCGAGACAGAAGCGAAAAAGGCCTTAGAATGACAGCACAAGGGGAGCCAAGGACAGAAACTGGGTCTCCATTGAGCAGATGAAGGCGTGGGGACCCAGAGAGGAAGAGGGATTCTCTTGGGGTTCTGTAACTAGGGAGCATTGCCCAAGCTTAACCTTTAATTCCCAAGCCAGGTCTCATTGCCCAGTTTCAGTTGATTTGTAATCATACTGATAAGGTTTGCACCAAGTTCAACTTAGAAGAGAAAACACCGCCTGGGTAGGACTGCTGGTCCAAACATAAGGGAAAGGTTTTGTTTTAAAACCTGGACCATGAATCCTCTAATTCGAGCCTTCCTTCCTTCTTTCTACCCAGTCTCACTCTGTAACCCAGTCCAGCCTCAAACTTAAGGCAGGCCTTTGGAAACTTCCCCTTCCACCCAAGAAAAGTGTATGTTTCCCTGGGTATACAGGTAGACAAATGGAACATTTACTGATACAAAACACAAAGTCATTTTCTTCTTTCCTATGGCCTCGTGGATGTGCGCATTTTTCTCTTTGGTTTGAAGGATTCCTTCCAGCATCTGCTGTAGCCTAGAGGCCATGGGTTCCTTTAGTCTGTTTTCATCATGGGAAGTTTCCCTTCTGCTTTGATGACGGTGGACTGTAGGCTGAGCTGACAGTTGTCTTTCAGAGTTCAAAACATATCACTCGAAGCCCTCCTGGCTCTTAAACACTGTTGAGGAATCAGCTGTTACTATGACGGGCTTATCTGTCTGTATATGTGACTTGGTGTTTTCTTGTTTCTTCCAATGTACTTTATAATACAAAGTAGGGAAATAATTTTTTGGTCTTATCTATTTAGTATTTTAAATTCCTCCCCAAGGGTATGGGTGTCTCCCTTAGATAGGTGAGTTTTGAAGCTATGATTTTATTGGAAGTGTTTTCTATTTGTTCAGCATGAATTTTTTTCCTCTTTCTTGTATGCCCCTGGTTTGTAGATTAGGTCTTTTCAAGGTATCCCTTAGACCTCAAATGCTTTGTTTACACTTTCTTACTAATTTACCTTTGCCATTGATTGTTCCAGCTTCTCCATTTTGTGTCCAAGTCCTGATACGGTGTCCCTCTCATGATCTGTCCTTTGGGTGAGGCCTTTCTCAGAACCTTCTGTTGACTTATTAGTATTTTATTTCCAGCACTGTTTGCTTTTCTTCAACGTTTCAGCCTCTTTCACATCTTGTATTGTTTTTCTTGCTTCCCTCAGCTCTTTGCATTCTCTTGGAACATATCTGGGAGTTTATTTGTGTTCTCTATGATTTTCCTGAACATACCTATGTTTATCCTTTAAATCCTTCGAGTGGGATTTTTGTCTAGTTCAGTCTCATTGGAGGCCATTACTATTGGTCTAGTAATTTTTGAAGGAGTCACTTTTCCTTGACTATTCATGTTTCTTATGTTTTTGGTTTGAGAGTTGTGTAGGTCATTGGTTGGATTTTTTTAAAAGCACTCTTACTCTTTCAGTAGAGAAATTAGAGTGTTCGAAGGAAGCTGCATTGTAGTGGGGCTGAGGCATAGTTTTCCTCTATTAGACTTCAGGGCTAATCTCTCCTGAGAGTGAAATACTAGCTGCAAAAACTATCACTACCAAGGAATAGGCCCACTATAGAAATATAGTAGTAGTTAGATAAAAAAATAATCACTTCCTAAGCACCAATAACTTTTGACAATAAAGAAGAATTGATAGTACTGTGAGCATGAATTTATTAGTTAGTGTGGGAATAGGTAGCAAGAAAAAAAAGCCAGTAAGACTAGTGTTGATTGATGAAGAAAGGATAGAGGAAGGATATGTGAGTAGAAGGAGGGCAATAGGGGCAAAGGTGTGGGGGTAGAGCGGGGTAGGTAGCTTTGGCTAAAGCTAGAACTGGAAAAGAAAGGTAAGGAAATGCAGATAATAACGTGGAACCACCCCAGCGCTCAGAAGGCTGAGACACAGCAGCTCTTCCACCCAGGCTAGTCTGTGTGCTTAAAGAGGGAGAGGGAGTACAGACAGAGAACCAGAGGGGAGTAGGGTGCAGCTGGCCTGGAGAACCGGCATTGGGTATGAAACACAGGAGACACGGATGTGAAAGGGAAGCAAGCTGATGGGTCGCAGAACATGAGTGTAGGCTGGTCTGTTTGCTCACTCCCGTCTCAAGTCTCTCTGCTTTCCTTCCCTGGCTCCCAGAAGCCTGGAACCCCCTTACAAGTTGGGGCAGGTCATAGATGCTGGGGGCGTTCTTCAAGGGTACTTTAGGGTCCAGTTCTGTGCTGTGAATTCTGCTCTCACCTTAAGTCATAGCTCCTGCTCTTTGAATTTCAAGAAATTTATTTTAAAACAATTTTTGCTATATATTTATTAAAGACTAAACCAAGTTTTCATGCAAATGGGATGGATGTGCTTGTTTATTTTCATGTAAGCAGATATTAGACAAAATATTTGCTACTGTAGAACACAGAGTGTTTTCAATGTCTTTCAGAGTTGATTAATATTTTGAATTTATAATAGTCAATACTCATACTATTATTCCTCACTTTGTAGGAATATGTAGCATAAAATACCAACAGGATATATAGGGCCATTTCAGATATTGTTAGAAATTCTATCCTAATAATCCCAGGCCAAAATTCATTCAGTGATATTTTCTTCTAATATACTTTAATTAATGCATATGTGATGTATATATGTGTGCATATGTGTATATCAGGTGCACATGCTTGTGCATGCATGTGTGGAGGTCAGAGGTTCATATCAGGCATTTTCCTCTATCACTAACCACCTTACATTTTTTTTTATGTTTTGAGATAGGACATCTAACTGAATCCAGAGCCTGACTAGACTTGGACAGCCAGCAAGCCTTCAGGAACTTCCTGTCCCAGCACTGGATCCCACAACCACGCCAGCCTCTTCACATGGATGCTGGAGATCCAAATTCAGGTCCTTGAGTTTGCAGGCAAATACTTTGCCCCCTGAGCAACCTCCTCAACTCTGATTATTTTTAATATGAAACTCAAGTCAGTAACTCAAACAAAAATTTTAAAAGTCAAACATTCCAATCCAATGTAATCCAAAGATAAACAAATTCAATGCATGCTGAGCAGCAATAGCAGGAAAATATGCAAGAGTGGTTTTGAAGCCTGGTCAGATAGAGCACGTTGATTCCAAGGCAGAGGCAGGTGGATCTCTGATTTCCAAGCCAGCCTGGTCTACAGAGTGAGCGTCAGGACAGCCAGGGCTGCTACACAGAGAAACCCTGTCTTGAAAAACCAAAACAACAATGAGTGGTTTTGGTCTTTCTATTTTCTCTAGAGCATTCTCACCATATGCTCTGGTCACCATAGTCTCCTATGCCTCAGGCCCAAAGCAGTAGATCAGCAGACCTTGGAATGAAATGTCTCAAACTCCTTCACTGTGTGGAGGGGCCAACTACCATGCTACAAGCAGGCCTGTGGAGAGGCCGTCATGGCAAGGGACCAACACACTGGCCAGCCTACCCACTGAGGCCTGCCAGCCAAGCCATGCGCAAGCACACTTGAAGGGAATTCTCTCCCAGCCGAGCCTTCAGACGACTATAGACCTGGCTGATACCATAACAGCTGCTGAGAGACTCTGAGGCATAGGACCCAACAAAATGGTATGTAAATTCCTGACCCACAAAAATGGTGAAGTAAAATGTATCACTCCAAAGACAGTCAACTCTTACCTGGATAATTTTCATCTTTATCTGCCTTGTCAGGCAAGCAATCTTCATCTAGTTCAGTGGTTCTTAACCTTCCTGGTGCTTCGACTCTTTTTAGTACAGTTCCTCATGTTTTGGTAACCCCCTCAACCATAAACTTACTTTCATTGCTGCTTCATAATTGTAATGTTGCTGCTGTTATGAACTGTAATAAAAACGTCTGTGGGGTTTTTTTTGGGGGGTTTTGTTTTTGTTTTTGATGGTCCTAGATGACCACCATCTCCAAGTACAACAGAGGAGAAGCTTCTAGACACAGAGCAATTGCTTGGATCTCAATCTTGTTCTCAAATTGTCACTAAGAATCTACTCTCTCATGGGGGTAAGAAGTTTCTTAGGCGGGCAAAATGTACGGTTTAAAAATCCGCTGAGATCCCTTCCAGACACAAATTTCTTCCTAGAGATTTAATGAAACACTTCTCAAAAACAGGAATGCTGATCTGATGGCCCGGCTGGCCTCCTGCTGGACACATCCGTGCATCAGCATAGCTGGCCTACTGGCAGCTTCCTCACAGAGGTTGAAGAATCTTTGAAAGCAATGCCAGACATGGAAGGAAACTCACAAGCAGACTTCCCAGTTCTTCTGGCATAGTCAACAAGAACCATTGCTCCAGCCTTCCGTCTCTGAAGAGATCCTGGACCCCACCACAAACGTCAGAGGTCTAGCTCCAGCCGGGCAGTGCTGGCTCATGCCTTTAATCCCAGCACTCAGGAAGCAGAGGCAACAGATCTCTGTGAGTTTGAGACCAACCTGGTCTACAAGAGCTAGTTCCAGGACAGCCTCCAAAGCCACAGAGAAACCCTGTCTCAAAAACAAAACAAACAAACAAACAAAGTTCTAGCTCCTGTGTTTACTCTGCAGCCCATCCTTCTATCTCCAAAGAGAAGATCCCTGACCTTACCACTAACATCAAAGGTCTAGCTCACGTGTTTACCCTCAGCCCATGACAAAAGCTTCAGACAATCAGGAAAAACTCCCTCAGATGTGCTCAAGGTAGGGTCACTCCTGGGACAAAAATAGACAGGGCATAAGGTGGGAACATTTGATGAGACACAAGTCATAGGGGTAGAAGCCAATGCTATTTTGGCTTAGGTGCACAAATGCATGCCTTAGGAAACATCTTTTGGTTCGGTCGTCTGAGCCAGGTACAGTGTAGGGGCTGGGAGTGTGCCATAAGGAAGCATCAAACTCCAGGGAGGCTCTGCTTTCTCAGCCCTTGTGGGAAGATCTCCCACACCCAAGCCAGGCAGAAATTCAGCCTACAAGGGGCAAGAAGACAGGCTTTACCCAAAGACCATGGGGGAACTGGGCGTACAGAACCAATAACTCTAAGGCAGTGACTCAAAGCCCAGAGGACTTTTATTTTGCTGAGAGTGCATTGTAAGACAGTGCTTTGTCCCTGCACTGGTTTAGAGAAGCCCTTAGCCATGGGAAATCACTCTAGATGCAGGCATTGTATTGGGGACAGGCTCACAAAAGTGGTGGGTCTTACAGGAAAACAGGGAAAAACCACATCGCCTAATAGAAAAAACAAAATCCATCTTCCCACACATCCTTCAATCAAGGGCAAATAACTACTTCATCTTCTAACACTGGCCAGACTGCGATTGTTGGGAGAAAATTCATGTAACAGATAAAGCTGACCCACAAAGTCCCTGAATCAGGTCCTTTGCTCCATCACCTACTAGCAGTGGCATCTTAGACCTGTATCTTTAAGGCTTCTCTGATGCACTGTAGAGAAAGCCACTTCATAACACTGCAGATTTGCATATGTGGTACCAAGAAACCCTTCCTACTAGTCTACCCCTGGCTGGAACACTGGAGCCTTAATAGTAAGTAGGATTTAATATGCTCATTGCTTACAGAAAACTTGCAAATACCTTTATGTCCAGAGTAATGTCAATGGGATACTTAGGAAGGGATACAGAACCAAGCATGGTGTTGAACATCTGTAATCCCAACACTCAGGATGTAGAGGCAAGAAGATCAAAAATTCGACGTGGGCTGTACATGTTGCAAAGTCATCCTGTGCTACCTGCAGCATTCGAGGCTCAGGAGGCTGCTGTGCACATCAGTCCCTGTTAACGTGTAGAGCTAGCTGTCTTTTAGGAGAATCTCACTTTGTTTTTCAGGTAAAAGGAAGGCCTCTCTCCTTGTAGAACCAAATTGAGAACCAGGGCTGTAGGCAAAGGATGGATTAAAAGAAAAAGACAAGCGTGGGCTCTACTCTTTACTTTGCCAAGTCACAGATCCTTTCTAAGCCTTGCTTTCCTCAGTGACATAATGAAAGAAAGAGCTGAAGTTGAGGTCACAGGGCTGTCACATGCCAGCCTAACTAATTGGAAGTGGCTACTGAGAAAGGCCACAGAGCTATGTCCAGACACAGAAGGGGAGGGCACTGAGACAGAGGGCAGTCCCTGTACATTGCCATCCTGGACTAGATTATTTATTTATTTATTTATTTATTTATTTATTTATTTATTTTGGTTTTCTTGAGACAAGGTTTCTCTGTATTGTTTTGGAGCCTCTCCTGGAACTTGCTCTGTAGACCAGGCTGGCTTCTAACTCAGAGATCTGCCTGCCTCTGCCTCCCAGGTACTGGGATTAAAGGTGTGCGCCACCAACATCTGACATGTATAGCCCAGGCTCTTGCCTCTGCCTCCTACCGGCGTGAGTCACCACAACAGGCCCTGGAGCAGATTATTTGAAACTCCCTTTCAGGTCTGTTAAGTCTGTGATTCTAAAGCCCATGTAGTGACTAGAAGTTGGCTGAGCAAATCTCCCAAAACGTCTCTTCCCCACGGAGGCCATGCTGTTTTCTACATTGTTCCAGGACAAAAGCATCACACAGTATTTTAAAATTGTTAAATAAGTAACCAAAATTTAAAATCAAGAAATTCCACTGTGGTGATATTTTGCTTGTACAAATAAAGTCTGCCTGAAGGTCAGAGAATGGAGTCTGCCACTAGCTAACCCTAGAGGTCTACAGCAGCAGGGCATGCTCTGAGACAAACAAGCATCAACTTTCTTAGCCACTCCATTCGTTTGTGTCCTGCCTGACCTTGGGAGGCACTGTAGTCCTGACCCTAACCAACCCTACCCTACTGTCCTCCCTCACCGCCTCACATAAGCCACATACTTGCCTTCGTTAGGGGCATGCTCATCCCACACAGACCACATCTGGACACTGAAGAAGGGTGCCCAGCAAGCGATGTAGGCCAGCACAATGACAAAGGTCATCTTCACAGTTCGGATCTTTGCCCTGGAGATGGTGCTGATGCTGCTGACCCTGGATGGCAGACCTCTAGGGGCTGCAGCAGGGGCAGAAGACTTGTCCCAAGTCCTCCAGCCCCTTCTTTGCTCCCTGCCAGCCTGTGTCTTCACTTTAAGGTTCTTGTAGATCTCGCGGCAGATGAGACTGTAACAGGCTGTGAGCACCGCCACAGGTAGCACAAAGATGGCCATGGTGGTCCAGGTGATGTAGGCCCGCGGCCCCCAAGAAAAGTAGAAATCTGCCCAGCAGTCCAGCACCCCTGAGCCCTGGATCACCTCTCGCAAAGAAAAAATGAAAACTTGAGGGAGGCTGAAGACGGCAGCCAGCAGCCAGGGAGCAGCAATGAGAGGGTAGGTGGCCTGGCTGGGCTGCTGGAGGCTGCGAAGGGGGTGGCAGACAGCCAGGTATCGGTCCAGTGTCATGGCCAGCAGCATGTAAGTGGAAGCAAACATGCTGAGCACCTGCAGATACTTGACGGCCCGGCAAAGGGTGTCAGAGCCCTGGAAGCGGTAGGTGATATCCCAGAGCAGCTGAGGCAGCACCTGGAAAAGCGCCACGCCCAGGTCAGTCAGGGCCAAGTGCAGCACAAACAGATGCATGCGGGAACGCTTGTGACCCTGGCACCCCAGCGTCAGGAGTACAGCCAGGTTGCCCCCCGTGGCCAGAACCAGGACAGTAGCTAGGATGCCGATCTCCACCTTGGCTAGCTCTTCATCCCTGCCCAGCCAGGGCGTGGTGGCATTGGGGACAGACGGGGTGCTCCCGGGAGAGGGAGTGACAATCCAGAAAGGCTCAGAATCCATGATCGGGATTTGAGGGAGAGAAGGATAGGAAGGTGGATGCAGGGACCGTGTGGGCGCAAGCAAAGCTGGATAGAGACCATGGAATGGGAGAGAAAGTTTAGAGGCGGAGAGAAAAGGAGGCCAGGGTGGCAGGGCGCGGGCTTGGGAACAGGTGAAACAGTTCAGCAGACAGGAACAGGGAGGAGAGTGAATCCAGAAGAGAGCAGAACTAACGTCCCTGACCTCTGTGGGTCAGGGAATCAGGGAAGGAGGAGGAGGGTCTGGGAGCTGGGGGTTCAGTGTGGCAAGGATGGAGAGGGCTGGAGGTGGGGACTACTGAAAGGTGACACAGGGGGCAGCTGCCATCTCCCAAACCCAACCCAAATTCATTTTGTCCAAACTTTTCTGGAAGTGTAGAGAGTGGATGTCCTCGAAGGCGCAGTCGGGGATCACGGACGGGCGTTGCCTGCAGGAACTGGAAAGCCCAGCTGAGCCTTGAGCGCGCGCTCTCGGCTCTCCCTCTCCCGGGAGGAACACAAGCACCAGCCGAGCAGATGCTGCAGTTCAGCGCGTATTTGTATGTGCTTGGATTCCTAGTCAGGAGGCTGAGGCTCGCCACCGGTTGGCTCCTGCAGAGGAGGGTGGAGTGAGGCTCAGCGGCACCCTTCAGACAGGGATACTGAGGGGAGGGGCTGAGGACCTGTGTGGGACTGTGGTGGAGAAGGATCCGGGCAAGGAGAATAGAAGGAAGAAGCAAGCTCTCACCAGCTACAGGGATCCCCTGGACACCAAACAAACTAACCCACGTTGGCATCTTGAGCCCTCGACTCTCTCCAGACAGGTGCATACTGGAGATGGGTGTGTATGCTTGTGTATTTGGGGGGGGGGGAGGGGACGGACAGACGCAGATGGCCTCTTTCCCAAGCACAGTGCTGCGGGACACCACGGCGTGTGTGCAAGATACCAACTCTTCAGGAATTGCTAAGAGGCATGTCCTAAAGAAACCGACGTTGGGGGACCAGATGTGACAGTCGTTTGTCTTAGGATGTGCACTTGGAGTTTTGAAGGAAGAAGAAAAGTGAGGATGTTTGTGACAGGGTGAGGGTGGGGACAGGGGATGGTGGTTGGTGGGTGGTGGATGGTGATTGGTGGATGGTGGGTGGTGGGTGGTGGGTGGTGGATGGTGGATGGTGGTGGTGAGTGGTGGATGGTGGAAGGAACTAGACCCCGGAGCCCTGATGCAGGAGAAATTCCAAATAGAGTGTGCGTCTCCAGGGTACGTCTGAACTTCTGGCCACTCTGGGGATACACTTCACGAGCTAGGGGTGTTGTTCACCACCCTGTGAGGCAGAAGCACAGCTGCTTAGAAATTACTTCACTTAGAAGGTTACAGAGCTAGTCAGCAGCAGCAGAAACAGAACAAACCAGACACAACAGAACTGAATACATTGTCTTCAACGACACCAGTGTGATGTGAACTGTCTGAGAGGCAGCAGCTCACTGCAAATGAGTAAATACCGTCTGGCCCTGAGAAAGCTTACAGCCAGTGAAGCAGGCACGGAAAAGGTGTAGGTTGGGAAATCACTTTATCTTTGGGAATTTCACACTGTCAGGACTCACTAGGTAGGTTAGAATTCATGAGGAGCTGTGATAGTATGATCTAAGCCTCAAGGGAGGGCAGGCTCTGTGACTGCAGGTCCGTTTAATTTGCTTTTTAAATCAAAGCTGATTCAACCCCCTTGACAAACCCACACACATGCATGTCTAACTTTCGTCTTTTCTAGATTGTTCTACCTGCTATACATCTCACAAATTCTTTGTCTTTTGTGCTTTGCTGCCCAAACTTCCACTTTTCAAGAATTTTGCTGTTTGTGAGCCAATTATTTTCACTCTTTCTACCTCTGTGTAGACACACTCTAGTACCCTTCATTAAAAAAAGTCTAACCCTCTGCAGAGACTATACCCAGATCTCCATATGAGTGCTCTTCCTGCACACAGAAAGCCTGCTTGCTCCCAACCATTCCATTGTCTTTTCTTAAAAAAACAACAACAGCCAGGCATTGGTGGTGCACGCCTTTAATTCCAGCACTCGGGAGGCAGAGGCAGGCAGATCTCTGTGAGTTCGAGGCCAGCCTGGTGTACAGAGCAAGTTCGAGGACAGCCTCCAAAACAATACAGAGAAACCCTGTCTCGGAAAAAAAAAAACAACAACAAAAAGGGGTGGTGGGAAGGAGGAAATGGGAGGAGGGAAGGGGGTAGGGAAAATGTATAGCTCAATAAAAATAAGGCAAAAAAAAAAGAGGAGAAACAAAACAACAACAAAAAACAACAAAAATGGGATCTGACTATATAGACAGAACTGTTCTCCAACTCAGAATCTGCTTGCCCCAGCCTCCCAAGTGCTGGGATTGCAGACATGAGTACCACAAGCTGCCTCCGATCATTCATTTCTACACTGTCTTTATTTGAGAGATCCACATTTATATCCTTTTTAAAATATTATAAAAATGATAGTAAACCATATGTACCATCCGGAATATTTTTTGCTTTGTTTTTGAGACAAGATCTCAGATAGCCCTGGTTGACTTGGAATTCCCTGTATTGTTAAAGATAATCTTGAACTGCTTAGGGGTTTGTATGCATGTACATACATGTGGAATTCAGAGAGAATAACTCCAGAGAGTCCGTTTTCTCCTTCTGCCTTGTGAGTACCTTGGGTCATCAGTCCTGGCCGCGGGTTTATTTACCCAACAAGCTATCTCAGGGCCCCCTCACCTCAACCTCCTCATGCTCCTGTCTCCACCCATCTCTGGACCTGGATTTTTGAAATTCTGTGTAGTTTTTGAGATTACCTATGTTGACATATGGTATAAATCTAGTTAACTGACTTTACTAGGTGATATTCAAATGTAGAAGTAAACCACTTTTTTATTTTTCCAGAACTGGGTTTTCATAATTGAAGTCATTCCAAGATTTTTTTTTTCCTATTTACTGTGTTAACTCATCAGACTTTCTCTCACGTGAATAGCTAGCATTGTTGGGTAATACAACACATTATTTTGTTGTTTGTTTGTTTTGTTTTTCCAGATAGTGTCTCACTATGTAGCTCTAGCTGTTCTGGAACTTACGCTGTAGACCAGACTGACCCCAGACTCACAGAGATTCCCCTACCTCTGCCTCCCAAGTGCAGGGATTAAAGGTGAGTGCCACCACTCCCAGCTATGAATGATTTTTTTAAAGAGGTAAGCCATATCTTGAATTTTTGTGTCTAGTTGTTCTACTAGCCGAATTTTGGTTTTCCTGTCTTCTCATTGCTAGACCTTTTAATTTTTGTCAACTTGATCAGCATGAAATGGCATTTCCTTCTACTTTAGAGCTCCCCAATTATGATTGGTTTTGAGAATCTCCGCAGGCTTTTACTTGTCTTGATTTCCTCTTCTATGAATCGTTCACAACTGCCATACAACTTCTGATTTGCTTTTGTCACTTTGTCTTTCTGCATGTCTGGAATGGGTCTTTTATGCATTATCACCTGTTGCAAATATAAGCTGTTGTCTCTGACACTTCTCTTAACTTTAAGCAGGGTCATTTATTACACAGAAATTTTCATTAGGATTTAGTTAATGGCTTTTCTTATTTCAACCTTTTGTGTCTTATGGTCTCTACTCACAGAAGAGAGATGTTCCCTCCTTCAGTGATTGTCCCACCCCAACTCTTCCCTAGTGTCATTTTTTTTTTCACTTTAAGGTTTGAAATTCTTTTTATTCTTTACAGTGTGCAAAGTAAGTCTCTAACTTCATTTTCCTCCCAGGGAACATCAATTCCTCCATTTATTGAGCAATCCATTGTTCTGTCTATTACCTGAATAATTATCAAATTTTAAGGTTTTCATAAATTTTTTTTCACCCTGTGATTTGAATGAATCAGCCTTATACTTTCTGTTGCCATTGTGCACACCACTGTGTTCTGCTGCATTCCCTATCAACTTGCTGGTTGTTACCAATAAGTGGGAACAGTACTGGGTTTTGTATCATGTTCCTATATATAACAGGTTTTCTTTTTTAAATATTTATTTATTATGTATGCAGTGTTCTGCCTGCATGTATGCCTACACACCAGAAGAGGGCACCAGATCTCATTACAGATGTTTGTGAGCCACTTTGTGGTTTCTGGGAATTGAACTCAGAACCTCAGAAAGAGCAGCCATCTCTCCAGCTCCTATAGTAGACTTTTTTGTTGTTGTTGTTTTTGGTTTCTTTGTTTGTTTGTTTGTTTTGTTTTGTTTTTTGTTTTTTGAGGCAGAGTTTCTCTGTGGCTGTCCTGGAACTAGCTTTTGTAGACCAGGCTGGTCTCGAACTCACAGAGATCCGCCTGCCTCTACTCCTTGAGTGCTGGGATTAAAGGCGTGTGCCACCAACGCCCGCCTTTATAGTAGATTTTCTATAGTGTGTAAATTATCTAGGCGTGTAATATTGTTTGCAACAACATTAATTTGGTTATCTAGTCTCGATTAAGCTCATGTTTCTTTTTCTTATCTCATTGCTAAAGCTAAGATTCCAGTAGAGCTAAAAAGCAAGAGTCATTGATGTTTCTACATCAGGTTCTATAGCTCTTCTTTAGTTACAAATCTTAAGGTGTATTATTTTTTAACTATATATACTAGTCAAGTGATTCTACAAAAGCTGTTACTAATAAAAATAACCACAATTTCCATTTTCTTCACCCACTGGGGCAATTCTTTCCTTTCACCTTATATTTGTTATTAAAGAAATATTGAGTCATATTCAAAACTAGAGAGAGCAACATAAGGAAACCCTGTCTCCATTTCTCAGTTGTCTCAGTAATCAGTAGATATACAATTTGGTTTCTTCTAAATCTTTTTCTACTCTTCAGCCCAGTATTATTTTGAAGCAAACAGCAAACATCATTTTATCTGTTAATATCTCAAATATGTATTTCTAAGTATAATGGTGTTATATTATCATTCCTGTATTAGCCAGGGCTCTTCAGAGAAACAGTCAGTGTGGTGTGGTTATAGAGACAGGAAGAGAAAAGCAGGAGAGGCAGATGGGGGCTGGAAGGGTACTTGGGGTTTATAAGACTCAGCGGTGTGGTGACGGAGGCCGGGAAGTCCCAGGGTCTACCCATCTACAGTTACTGTGTCTAGGAGTATGGCTCCATGGGGAGCACTCACTTAACATGTGTGAGACCCTAGGTCAGATCTCCAGAGAGAAACAAAAGCAAAACACAACATTATAACCAAATGCATCCCCTGCGGGAGAGCCAGAACTATTGTACTCTTCTAGTCCAGGCCTGAAGGCGGCAGAATACATTCTAGTCTCAAAAGCCCACAGGCCTGAAACCCAAGAAAAGAGTTGTTTTTTCAGTTGGGGTCTAACAGTAGGAAAAGATCAGAACCACAATTTGAGCTGTAAGGGACAAACAGTGCTTGTTGTAGGTGCTGATGACCCGAGTCCAGTCCCCAGATCCCACAGATGAAGGGACAGAACCAAATGCACATCTACACATGTACCTTAGCATGTGCATGCCTGTACTCACATGGACATATTATATACATACACTATACAGTAATATAGCAATAAGTAATAAAAGCTAGTCATCAAAACCTTTGAAACTATTAATAATTCATTCTCTTATCAAATATTTGTCTCATCAAAATATTCTGCTGTCTTAAAATTTCTGCTTGAGTCCAAATTCCAGCACGTGCAACGCTTGCCTGCCTTTGTATACTCACATTCTTCAATAATTTCTGTGCCCTCCAGTTGTGTTGCTGAAGAAACCACAGCATATAATGCTGTGGGTAATCCCATCACCTACGCATTACCTTTATTCGCTTCTAAAGTTGTGCTTATGTTTTCTTTGAAGGTTTCATATGTGCATATAATGAATTTTGTGTTGTTTTAACCCCCATACCTCTCTCTTATTGTTCCCTTCCTCACCACTGAAATCCTTCCTCCTCTAACTTTGATATCTCTCTCTCTCTCTCTCTCTCTCTCTCTCTCTCTCTCTCTCTCGTGTGTGTGTGTATCTGTGTGTGTGTGTGTGTGTGAGAGAGAGAGAGAGAGAGAGAGAGAGACAGGGAGAGACAGGGAGAGACAGGGAGAGACAGGGAGAGACAGGGAGAGGGAGAGAGGAAGAGAGAGAGGCCTACTGAATTTAATTATGGTTGCTTGCATGAGCATGGGAGGGAGGTCATTTACTGGAGTGTCAGTAACTCTCCAGTGGCTACAGTACTGAAGAAAAGGAACCTCCTCCTTCAACAACCACTGAAGTCATCCCTCAAGGGGTAGGTCCTCATGACCTTCTTTCCCATCCTTGATAAAATGTTGATTGTTGATGGGCCGATCTTGTGCAGTTACCACTGCTGCAGTGAGTTCATGAGTGCAACTGCCAAGTCATTTCCAGAAGAAATGTTTTGCTCACACACTTCTCCATCCTCTGGCTCTTACATTCTTCCTTCTTCTACAGTGTTCCCTGAGTCTTCCAGGGGGGGGTCTCATTTAGAGCCAAGCACTCCATTGTCACTTATTCTTAGCACTTTGACCAGTTATGAATCTCTGCATTAACTACCATCCGCTGCAATAAAAAAGTGTCCTGATGAATACCAAGAGCAGTACCATTCTCTATACATGCATATGTGAATGTGTGTGTGCATGCATACGTGTGTTAAGAAGGTAGTTTGCCAACATGTCAGACTGGCAAAATGGTAGCAGTAAGTTTCCCCAGGGCCCAGGAACTCCCCAGTCATAGACTCTTGACCAATACTACAACAACAGGCATGAATCACATATGAGTCAGGCCTCAGATCCAATCCAGTTGGTGGCCCCCATAATATCCATGCCACCATTGCACCAGCGGGCACATCTTGCCTGGTGGGTCATTATTGTTGTTCACAGAGTTCACAACTGGGTGAAACAGTTGACTCCCTCACATTTCCACACTCTGCCCCCAAGAGTCAACGTAGCAAGCTTCCAGCTATGACTTGATTTCTCTATGGCCTGTGACTAAAGTGTGTAGAGTGTTCAGCAATAGTCTTGCCATCTAATTCTTGTAGGTAATCAAGACCAATGCCTGTAGCCTATTTTGTTTTGGGGGTCCCCTGGGACCTTCCTAACCAACAACTAGTAGGAGGTATCCTACACTTGGCACTGGGATTTTTGCTTAATAATCTATAGCTTCTGGGGACATTACCCATCCATGCAGTGTAATTCCGTTCTAATTTTTTTAAATTTTATTTAAAACCTTTTAGGTATTTATCAGTGTTTAGTAGCAAGTTTGACATCTGGCCACACCACTTTGAAATGCGTAGCTGTGAGAGATATAAGTGCCAGCAGGTATCGAGTGTGACCAAAGATAAACACCAGCCTTGTTGGGTCCTGCCTTGCCCAGGTCACAGCTCTGAGGAAGAGTGAATGCTGAACCGTTTTCACGGGGTTGGCACCAGCCTTCTAGGGTACTTATATCTTTGACCAGGCTTCTTAGAACAGGAAGTAATTCTGTTAGGCTCAAATCACACTACCCTCAACTTCCTTTGCAGAGCAGCGGAAACTTTCTGTAAAGTAGTCAACAACTCACATGAAGTATTAGCTCATTGTAGCTATCAGATCTCCAGGAAGAGATCTGTGCTGGCCCATCCCCTTGAGAGCACTGGGAATCCAAGGTAAGATAATCTCTGAGTTCCAGGCCAGCCATGGCTACATAGTTAGACCCTGTCTCACACAAACAAACAAGCAAGCAAACAAAGCTCTTTGGAGTTTAGAGAAGTTGGGGCAGGTTAGGGGAAATTGGGGGAACACAAAAAAGGGAAAACAGGCCCTCACCCTGAAATTCAATTGAAGCCTCACCAGGGGAAAAAAAAATCAAGAATTCCAGGACAATTAACAACTGTTTAAGCCAGACATCTTCCCTTCCCAGCCTTAAACCTGCAGTTTTCTAGGATTCTCATGGGAAATACCATTGGCAGGGAAAGGATATATTACATACTAAACTACTTATGCGAAGCTAGTGGCTTCTGCATTCCTTTATCAGATTATAGTCCCATTCAAGATATCTCTGGCACCACCCACTTACCTCACTTTTCAAACGAGAGAGAAATTAAGGGTTTCATAGCAACCTTTTGAGATGTAATGTGAGAGCCACAAAAATGGTTTGTATGGCTAGTGCAAAGGCAATAATTTATTGTAACTCTCTCTCTTGAGGAAACCATACCCACATTCGTGTATGTCTTATGCTTTCGGACTCTCTTAGAAAATGCTCCGAGGTTCTAATTTCTCGAGTCTCCCCTCTTCCCCTCCCCCCTCTCTCCTCTCCCCTCCTCTCCTCTCCCCTCCTCTCTCTTCCTCCTCATGTTTAAGTCTATGTTATATTACTTCTAATAAAATCTCAACTCTGCTTCACCATACCAGCTAGTCCCCAAATCCTTTTGAGTATTGAAACCACAAATCCCAGTTTGCAGTGAATTTCTATCCCTAAAATATTGGGGGAATTCTTCAGGCTTCTGAGGGTGACAGCATGGAGCTGAGTCTCTGTCACCTCACCACAAAGGGCTGTAATTCACAGGGCTCAGAGACTGGCCATGGCTTCTAGTTTCCAGAAAATCTGTCTCCTACCAAGGACAGCAGGCTCGACTGAGGTGTTGTTTGCTGTAGAGAAGCCTCAGGTGGAGAGAGGCTGAAAGAGGTAGGAAGCTGCTGAGCCTAGGAGGTGCTGAGGGTGAGCGGCCATGTGGCTGTAGAGGCCTCCACTCTGTGTTCAACCTCAGTGCTCCTTCCTGAGGCACACACGTGAGGCACACACATGATGCATACATGATACACACACGATGCACCTGCATGAGGCACACACATGATGCATGCATGATGCACACACATGATACACAAGCATGATGCACACACATGAGGCACACACATGATGCACAGGCATACACACAGGCAAAACACTCATGTACGTAAAAAGCAAAAATAAGTTAAAAAACAAAACAAAAGAGAGTGCAATCTCAAAACTCATCCTTGAGGGAAGGGAGTCTGTTTCCAAGCTTGCTTACTGAGACATGAAGTTATTTTTCTTCCTTCTGCCTGCCTCCCATCCCAGCCGTGTTCCCAACACACTCATGCTTGAGTTGCATGGCAAGCTTTCCGGCAGGAGGGATAGAGGACAGTCTCCAGGAGTAACCATCTGTTCCACTTATCTCCGCATCAGCGCCTATCTATGTTAGTGGATGCAGGCAGGCTACTCATCTGTGTGCTGTGTGTGAAATAACCAAATAGTCTATGCATCCTGGCTTACTGCAAACCTTGGCTTACAGTGGCTCAGCAAGTGTTTGTTGGGAGGATGGCCTTGAAGTCAGGAAACCTGAGTTCTTTTCTTGTACTACTGATAACTCTTAATGAAGTCACCTTGTCACCCGGGCCTTAGTTTCCTCTTAGGGAGATGGGGTGGTTGGACAGTTGAGCTCTCAGACCCCCATAGAATCTCTATTATAATTCTGTGATGGCACAATCCAAAATATCCTGACTCATGTGAAAATGTTAAGACTAAATATCATCCCCAGAGGATGATACTTATTTTTAAAACAAACTTCAAAAAAAATAATAACCCATAGCCCAAGGAGTGATTCTAATTCCAGATTTAGTACTAACAGGGGAAGTCATAGTATGGATTGTTTTCTCTGTCAGATTCCAGTCCCCATGCCAGTCAGCAGCCAGGGTCAGCTACCATCGTGACAGAAGATATCTAAATGTTACACAGCAGACTTCAACTGCGGAGTGACAGAGAGTGAGGGAGAAGCAGCATCACTCAGATGCCTCTGCCTCCGTACATACCTCTGCCTCCTTCTCAGGGTCAAGTATACACAGAGGCATGCTTTTCAACCTATTTCTTATGCATGCCCTAGTCTGTTGACAACTTCGTCATGAGCAATGCCATTGTGTAGCCCAAAGCAGGGTTAAGGACTAGTCTAAAAGGGGGCTGTGGGTCTGCTTCCATCGGGAAGCTTTGGTGAAAAGGAAGAAGAGACCCTAGACAAAGGATGATGGTGGGTGTGAGTGAATGGGGATGCTGGAGAGAAGCTCAGATTAGAGCTTGTTTGTTTGGTATCTATCTGACCCAGCACTGTACAGACATTATTCCAAATTCTCATTACAACCCTGGGAAATAATTCTTCCAATCCCACCTTTGATGGGGGAAGCCTTTCTGGGTATAAGTCTATAAAGCACTGTTGGCCAATAGGAGAACATGATAGGTGGGACTAGGAGTCTAGGAGGATTCTGGGAAATGTAGTGAAGAAAGTTGTCACCAGAGTGCATCCTCAAAAAAGATAAGTTCTTATAAAATATATATTAGTAATTATGGGTTAATAATCGAGTCAGAGCTAGCCGATAGGAGACCAGGCAGGTGGCCAACAGCGTCATGATTAATATGGTGTCTTGTGTGTTATTTGGGGCTGAAAGCGGCAACAGGACCCAGGCAGGGGGGCAGGAAGACTAAATCCCACTTCTGACACCAAACTGTTGCTGTAAAATAAACCACACACTTGATGAGGGTATAGATAACTATTTATTGTAGAAGGTACTTACAAGAGAAACTGGCAACCCAGGTGAGTCAGCACCTTTCCAAGATTGGACTGGAAGCCCAAAAAAGAGCATGCATATCTCCTGCAGAGCCTTTTATTTCCACATCCATATGCACCTCTAGCCACGCCCAAAGTGGGCGTGGTCAGCGGCACAGGTATCTAAAATCTCTCCCTACATACCTTCATACTATCAAGGAGACCAATGGTCAGACAGATTTGCCCATGTCTCATATAGCCAGTAAGTGGGGAGAGTAGGGTTCCAAGTCCTTCCCACAGAAGATCCCAGAATCATCCTCCTGCCATAATATGCTGCTTCTTGGTACTTAGAAGAGGGGACGCAAAAAAATTGGTATCATCTCCAAGATCTACTTAATGAAGATAATAATACTGTTTATGACTTTTTGCAAAATTTTCAGTTGAAATTTATTTTGATCACATTATCTCATTTATTTTTCTAATTTAGTTATTTATTATACAGGGATATAACCCATTTTCACTAAGATATGTGGTGTTCGGAATCGCGCTTCCGCCATCTTTCCAGCTTCAGTCGGACAGGCGCGGAGAGTCTTCTGCAAGGATCGCCGCGATGGCCGCCCAGGGAGAGCCGCAGGTCCAGTTCAAGCTCCTCCTGGTGGGCGACGGCAGCACCGGGAAGACGACGTTCGTGAAGCGCCACTTAACGGGCGAGTTCGAGAAGAAGTATGTAGCCACCCTGGGCGTGGAGGTGCACCCGCTCGTCTTCCATACCAACAGAGGGCCCATCAAGTTCAACGTGTGGGACACAGCCGGCCAGGAGAAGTTCGGGGGCCTGCGCGATGGCTACTACATCCAAGCCCAGTGTGCCATTATAATGTTTGATGTAACATCAAGAGTCACTTACAAGAATGTACCTAATTGGCATAAAGATCTGGTACGGGTGTGTGAAAACATCCCCATTGTATTGTGTGGCAATAAAGTGGATATTAAGGACAGAAAAGTGAAGGCAAAATCTATTGTCTTCCACCAAAAGAAGAATCTTCAGTACTATGACATTTCTGCCAAAAGTAACTACAACTTTGAAAAGCCTTTCCTCTGGCTCGCCAGAAAGCTCATCGGAGACCCTAACTTGGAGTTTGTTGCCATGCCTGCTCTTGCCCCACCTGAAGTGGTCATGGACCCAGCTTTGGCAGCACAGTATGAGCACGATTTAGAGGTTGCTCAGACGACTGCCCTCCCGGATGAGGATGATGACCTGTGAGAAAGCGAAGCTGGAGCCCTGCGTCAGAAGTCTAGTTTTATAGGCAACTGTCCTGTGATGTCAGCGGTGCAGCGTGTGTGCCACTTATTAGCTAAGCAGATCGTGTACTTCATTGGATGCTGAAGGAGATGAATGGGCTTCGGAGTGAATGTGGCAGTTAAAACATACCTTCATTTTTTTTTGGACTTTCATATTTAGCTGTTTGGAACACAGTTGTTTCCTTCCTGAATTTCAAAAATAAGACTGCTACAGTCACATCACACTATTCAGTCAGTGGTGAAATCTTGTTTGTTACTGTCATTCCCATTCTTTTTGTTTAGAATCAGAATAAAGTTGTATTTCAAATAATCTAAAAAAAAAAAAAGATACATGGTGTTCTTTGAGCATACGTGCTATTTCTTCCAACTGACTTTACCATACTCTTTTTCAAGTGGATATGTTAGCCATAACTCAAAAGAAATGTTGAGGTCACTGGTGGGGCAATATCTCTCAGGATGAAGGGCGCTCTGTGGAAAGCATTCTTTGGGGGCCCCCATAAGTACTAAGACAGGATCCTGTGAGTAGATGTTTTGAGAAGCCATCTGAGGCCATCCTTCTCAGCTTCGCATTGCAGCCTGTCTTTTCCAGCCTCCCGGAGCTGGTGCACAGGAACCACTGAGTCACAAGGCTTGGAATGGGGAAGGGCTCTGGAAAACGGCTCAGGCCTCAGATCGATCGCGGAGAATCCTGAGAATCCCCCGAGGTGCTCCAGGGGTTTCCCTCCAGGTACACAGAAGGCTGGGTGAGTGGGGCTCCATCTGTAAAACTAGCAGCCAGGCCCCTCTCCTAATTCATTAGAAAAGACCTAATGAATGACGGTGGACCGAAGTAAGACCCTGTTAGTTCGCTTCTTCTGGCGGCAAGAAGACGGCCAAACAGCTCCCACAAACAACTTATGAGCTGAGACCTGGAGTCGCGAGGGAGGGAGAGGGAGTGCCCACTGCAGGCTGGTGATGAGTTAGCTGGGAGAGCACACAGGTTCTAATAGCCTTTTGATGCGCAAAAGCTCTTGCCATTCCCTGCTTGCCTCCACACACAGCTGCCTTGTGTAAACACATCCGTGAGAGTTGGAGAGATGCAGGAGGCTGCATCCTACGTTTCTGTCAAAGATGAGGTACAGCTGAAGGGAAACCTGCAAATGCAGAGTGCGCATTGAGAAGAACTAATGAAGAGCTAAGTAAACGAGACTTGGCCTCACAAAGACTGTAGTGTGGGGTTCAGACAAGTCTTCCTAGATCCAGAAGTGACACATCTGATATGAGGGCCGGCAGAATGGTTCCGGTTTGTCTCCTTCCTCGTTGAGTCCTGTCACATGATCCTTTGTTGGTTGGTTGCTTGCTTGCTGCCTGACTGATTCTAAAATGTGGTTCAGGTCATAGTTTCTTTGCATGTGTTGGTACAAGGCTGTCCTGATTATGTGATCATGTCCAGCTCCTCACACAGTTGGCCTTCTGTTTGGGAGGAGTGGTCTCTCAGGACCGTCTCCTATCCATGTTGCTCTATCTCACTTTGTTGCCCTCCTCTGAAAATGCTGTTTGCCTCTGTTTTTTTTGTTTTTGTTTTTTAAGATTTTTACATATGTGCATGTCTAGGTGTGAGTATGTGCATGCTCATGCTTGTGGAGGCCAGAAGAGGGCGTGTAATCCCCACAAGCTGGAGTTACAGGTAGTTGTGTGCTGCCTGGTGTGGGTGCTGGGAATCAAACTCAGGTCTTGTGGAAGGAAGTGTTCTTTACCACTGTGCTGTCTCTCTGGTGGGTTTGTCTGTTTGGTTTACCTAAATCCTCAAAAGTTCCCATGTTCATAATTCTGGACAGCAGAGAAGTCTCTCCTCAACCTCATGGTACATGAGAACTTGACTTTGGAAATGTGGACATTTTAAACTTTTCATGACCCCTAAACAGATAAAAGTGGGATATCTGTTAACTTGAAAGCCACAGTAAATGATGGTCATGTGTCCTTGGCTTTGTGAGACACACTGAATTTCAAAAAGTCTTAATGTAAATCACGCATTAGTTTGGGTTCAGAAAATATAGACACTGTGCCAACACTGCTGCTACAAAACATATGCAGCAAGGGTCCCACACTGTGTAGGTGTTACACATTTGGGTCCAATGGTGCAAATAGAGGCTGGTGGCCTAGAGCTGTGTTGGCTTCAGTCTTTCCTAAGTATTAATGATTAGATTCATTGATGGCTGTTTCAGATTCAGAACACAAGATTCTGGGTATTAGTAGCCTCCTTCCAATCTCCCAGACAGTGTCCCAGAAGGAAAAGAAGCTCATCAAGGAAGGAAAGGATGAGACCACTGTGTGCATCTCAAAGTGGCATAGTTTGATGGTACCAGGATTGTCTTCCAGCACAGACCCAGGACCAACTGGACTAGGTTCTTTAGGAGGGTAACAGCATTAAGATGGTAGAAACTGCCACCAGAAGTGAGGGATGGCACAGATCAGGTGCCCCCACGACTAGGGGCCTCATAATGGATCTTATCAGGAGTGACAGTGACCAGGGTGACTTTAAGAGCCCAACAAGAGATATGGACATCTTCCAGGCAGAGGCAGATTTTCTGCTGTATGACAAGCAAAGCTTTCCTCTAACAGGAGGAACTTCCAGGAGGAAGGACTCCGAAACAAGTTTGGGAGCCACTTGGTGATCATGGAGAACCACAAAGAAGATATCCAGAAAGACTCAACAACACAAGTCCACAACGCGTATAAAAGGGTCACTCTGTATGAGAAGAAACTTCAATTTCTGTTGGCATACAGTCTTTGCCAGAGGAGGTCTAGACCCCACCTTCTCTTTATGTATGTGTGTTATATGTTTGGTTTTTAGAGACAAGGTGTCTTGTAGCTCAGGCTGGCCTCAAACGCACTACGAGTCAAAAGATGACCTTAGATGTCTGTTCTTCCTGTCTCTACCTCTGAAATGCTAGGGTGACAGGCATGCATCATGACTTGTGACTAAAGTGGGAGAGAATGTATATGACTTATTGAATGCACTCAGTGCCCAAGAAAATGTCAGTTGCTTGTAGCATCTCATCTCAGGCAGAGAGGAAGTGCTGAACAGACTACAGAATCTCTAAACCCTCAAGGCTTAGTTGAAGGTGTTTACTTCTATACAGCAAGTTTCCCACAAGCACTTGGGCACAGAAGGGTAATTCCTACCTATTTAGGAAGATCCTTCTATTTAAGTCTCTCTGTATCTCTTAAAGTACATTCTTTCTGGAGTTGTCCAGACACAAGGGCCCAGGTGTTGGCTTCTGGTTATCTTTTCATTGTCCTACCCTATTTTGCTTGCTTGAGTCATTGTGATATAATGGAAAGCAGGCAGACTGTTTCTTTATCTATAAGATGGGGGCATCTAATACCTACCTTCAGGTCACTGGAGAGATTATGCATACTTGGTGCCTAATGGGGCATAGTACATAGTAAGAGCTCAGTGAGATGAATAGGAGGATACACTGCCACAGCTGATCTCTGCAGTGCCTTCTGCCTCTAGCTCCCTCCCACTTTCTGTTTAAAAAGTGAATATCACAGAGGAAATTAGGACTTAAAATTATTTCTGTTCTGGAGGGTAAATGAGGCAGAAGTGGGAAAGACTTTTCTTCAATAGTCTAAGTATTTTCATTAAAGTTAAACTTCACTGGCCAAATCCTATCCTTGACAATCTCATGGTGTATAATGATGTCTGGTTAGATGAGCCCCCTCTTTTTCTCTTTTGAATATTGTGTTGGTTAGTTCTATGTCAACTTTACACAGGCTACAGTCATCTGAGAACTGGGACACTCAATGGAGAAATGCCCCCACCAGACTGGCCTGTAGAGAAGCCAGTGGGGCATTTTCTTGATTGATTTTTGATATGGAAGGGCCACCTAGTTCACTAGCGGTGACTCCTGATCCTGGGTGTTATAAGGAAGCAAGTCCAGCAAGCCATGGGAGCAAGCCATAAGCAGCCTCCCTTCGTGGTGCCTTCTCCAGCACCAGCCTCCAGGTTCCTTCTCTGAGTTCCTCCCCTGACTCCCCTCCATGGAGTAATGTGGCCAATTGGGGTATGTAAGCCAAATAAACTGTACACAGTCCAAGTTGCTTTTGATCATGGTCTTTATCATTGCCATAGAAATATAACCGAAACCAATGTATTAATTTTAGTACAAAATTTACCTACCAGATACTTGTGAGAAGAAGTAAGGAAGCAAAATCTCAGAGAATACAAAATAAGGATGGATTAATGTAAGAACAACTCAACTCAACTCTTTCATTTACCAAGTCCTGATCACATTAAAATATTCTGCTTCTTGTGCCAAGAGTACTGGCCCACATCTGTGATCCTAGGACCTAGGAAATGGATACAGGAAGACAGGTTATAGGTTCCACATCAGCCTTGGTTGTGCTAGACCCTGTCTCAAAAACAAAACAAACAACACAAGATGTAAAACAACAACAACAAAAAACCCACATTCAAAAACCAAAAACATGCTGAAACCCAAATCCAGTACTCAACCTCCTTCAAATGCATAAGAGAATCCCATGATGTTTCATTTATTCATATATTTTTTATTAAAGACAAAACAAAAGCACTGGTTTCAAAACAGCGTGGTAGAGATAGCTCAGTGGTAGAGTGTTTTCCTGGTATGTGGAAGGAAGGCCCTGAGTTTGAACTAGAGAGAGAGAAGAGAGGAGAGGAGGGTGGGGGAGGGAGGAAGGGAGGAAGGGAGGAAGGGAAGAGAGGAGAAGGGAGAGGAGAGAGAGAGAGAGAGAGAGAGAGAGAGAGAGACAGACAGACAGACAGACAGAGAGAGAGAGAGAGAGAGAGAGAGAGAGAGAGAGAGAGAGAGAGAGAGAGAGAGAGAGTTTGAGTCTCCACCACAGCTCACTGTCTCTTAGGAGCACTATCTGAAGATGCCTGGGTATATTGATTTCCTGTTGGCTGTTCTCAACTCTGGACAACCCTCACCCAATCAAGGAACCTCCTTCTGAAGTCTTAGAGCCCCATGCAGTTGATGCGGTCTCTGGTTGGACAGCGATAGCTGTCCTCGCTGTAGAAGAACATCTGCGTTTCTTATCCAGGTCACTTACCTGACTCCAGCAGTCTGGACTAAGCTGGCTGGCCAGAAGCAACCCGCCTCTGGCTGCTCTTCACCTCCTCTGCAGCACCTGCCCTCGGTTTCATCAATCTGGCTCAAAACTCACCACCTGCCACCCCTCCCAAGGCCCCCTGACTTCTTCCCTGAGCTCTGCCTCCCTGCCTGGTACAGACTGCCCCATGAGAAGATGACATCCATGTTCAGGATTCAGCAAAGCAAGGCAACA